ACTGCCCTCACCTGTGTGTCGCTCTTCTTGTCCTCAGATCTTTGTGGCCTGCATCAGACCTATGCAGCACCTTTCAATTCTGGTTGTGTTGACTTTCCCTATCATCTACAAGTTTATGTTGGATTGAGCCTCAGTATTTATGCTTATAAAGAAGTGTTTCTTGTAGTTAACTGATTTGTTTGTTCATTAACAAACATCTGAGTGCCTGCTATGTAGAAAGAAAAGACAACTAAATGCCTGTGTGAGTCAAAAATTTATAGTCTGAGTTGAAATCTCAATAGATACCTCGCATTTGTCCCCAGGGAGAGCTTTTATGTTAAAAGTCTTCACACTTGTGATTGTTAATTACTGAACAAAGTTCAGAATAGTGTTACTTACTGCACTTCTGAGGCTTGTAGACTAAAAGTTTGTCTTATATGTTCAATTCTTTAAAAATGATTTGTTTAAAAACTAGCTTTTATGAGGCTAGAGAGATGGTTCAGCTGTTACGAGCACTGACTGTTCTTATAGAAGACTCAGGTTCGAATCCCAGCACCCACATGGTGGCTAACAACCCACTGTAACTCCAGTTCCAGGGGATCTGATGCTATCTTCTGACCTCCTGCATGACACAGGTGCACTTACACACATACCGCCATAACGTTCATACGCATGAAATAAAAATAAATAAATAAAACTAGATTAGAGGCTGCATGTGATAGCACACACCTTTAATTTCAGCACCCTAGAAGTGGAGGCAGGTGGATCTCTATGAGTTCCAGTCCATCCAAGGCTACATGGTAAGACCTTGTCTCTGAATTAATTAATTAATAATTAAAGATAATTCATTTAAAATATTTTAAAAATTAGATTGGTTTGTATTTTGTGGTAGTGCCCTTGGAAAATTGCTATGATAAAATGTAAGATTTTAGTCTCTAGATAATTTTTACATTTTTTTCTGGTTACTTGGTTTGGTTAGGCTTTTTTAGCCCAGGTTGGCCTTGAACTCATGATGTATGCCATCATGCTGACTCAGTGATCTGTTTTAAGTGGGTAAACTCTCTGTGTAGGTATGGCACTGAACTTGTGTCTTCAGAAGATCTCTGTAGTATTATATCCAGGCTGACCTATTTTTATGTATATGAGTGTTTTGCCTGCATGTATGTAAGTACACCTTGTGTGTATACATTGCCAGAGGCCAGAAGAGGGCATCAGATCCCCTGGGACTGGAGTTATGAACATTTTTTAGCTGCCATATGGGTGCTGGGAATTGAACCCAGGTCCTCTGAAAGAGTAGGCAGTGCTCTTATCTGCTAAGCCATCTCTCCAGCCCCCAGGGTGACCCTTTTTAAAGGGGACCTCAGGAGCTAGAGGTGCAACTTAGTGGTACAATTTGTATAGCTGCAAGAGGCTCTGGATTTGATCCCCAACACTGGAAAAAATTAACCCTGAAAGGGTGTTGACACACTGAACTGTGACTAGAGGTTGATCAGGGAATGATCTAGGGAGGCAAAGACTGGAGAAAAATGTGAACCCCATGCTAAGATTCTTTTCAAGCAGAGCTGTCCCGTGGTAGAATTGACTGCCTTGTGCATCTCTGGATATAGCAAACAATGATTGAGTTCATGCCTTAAAGCTTTTGTAAAGGGGATTATTGTAATGGTGGAAGACCAATTCTCATGAACTCCAAAGGGTCTTTTACTTCTTTATTTTTCTCCCTCCTTTTAATTATGTTCTTTTTTTCTATTGAGACAGCGTCTCATAAAAGCTAACTTTGGGCTGGGGAGATGACTCAGTAGGTAAGAACACTTGCTATGCAAGTATGAAGACCTGAATTCAGATCCCCAACATCCATGTGGAAAGCCAGGAATGGCTGCATGTGCGTGCTGTCCCAGTATTGGTAAAGACAAGACCGGTGGCTCCCATGAACTTCTGATCAGTGAGAGATACTGTCTTATAGGAATAGAGTAGTGGGCAGCAATAGAGGAAGACATCTGACATCCTCCTTTTTTTTTTTTTTTTTTTTTGGTCTTTTTGAGGCAGGGTTTCCCCGTAGCTGCAGCTGGCCTGAATTCTCTATGGAGACCAGGCTGGCCTCGAACTCAGAGATCCACCTGTCCACTTGCCTCTGCCTCCCAACTGCTGGGATTAAAGGCATGTGCCACCATGCCTGGCCTGACATCCTCCTTTAGTAAAATTATAATCCAGTTTTGGAGGCTACACCCTCAGATGCATATAATCTTTGTGTATGTACAATACATATAACTAAGTGGGAGTAGGTCACTACTGCATGATAAGATGCACCATGAGTGTGCTCTTGCATGTCTGCATGGTAGCATAAGGCTTCCCTGGTCTGGTGGACAAGCCCAAGGCACACTACCCTGGGAAGTGGGTCGCTTGGCACATGGGGTGACCAGGCAGTGGATGAGGTAGGAGGAGCAGAGGACTGAAGTGCCTCCTTAAATTGTCCCACAGCCATCGTAAACTGAAGCAGTAGTAGTAGTGGGTGGTATAGGAGTTACCATTTGCAGTGTGCCCACCATATGCTAGGCCTAGAGACACAGGATGAAGAAAACCCAGTACCTGCCTTTCAGATTGGCTTCTAATAGGAGGAGCCACCAAACAGATAGACAGACATTAGATTGTGTTAAATAGCTGGGGGAAGGAGAGTCACTTTTCTTTGGGGATGTGGCCACTGGTAAGTTGCCCATGCTCCAGTGGAAGGCTTCACATCCATGCATATACAAGCAACACTAATTGGACTCAATGGGCTATAAAAATAAAAAGAAAGAGGGCGTGAAGGGAAGGGGCATATCAGGGGGACTCCAGAGGGAGTCATGGGGTGGACACAATCAGAATCCAAAATACAGGTCTGGAGAGATGCTCAGCAGTTAAGAGCACTTGCTGCTCTTGCAGAGGACCCCAGTTTAGTTCCCAGAACCCATATCAGGTGGTACACAAGTATCTGTAACTCTAGTTCAAGGGTCCCCATATCCTCTTCTGGCCTCTGAGGGCACCTGCACACACATGCACATACCCCCATACAGAAACACAAAGGTACACATAAATAAAAATAAAGTAAATTTTTTTTTTTGGTCTTTTTGAGACAGGGTCTCCCTGTAGCTCCAGCTGTCCTGGAACTCTCTATGTAGACCAGGCTGGCCTTGAACTCATAGAGATTCGCCTCTGCCTCCCGAGTGCTGGGATTAAAGGCATGCACCAGCACACCCAGCTAAAGTAAATATTATTTTAAAATACAAAATTCATTGTATTCATGTATAAAATTCTAAAAGAATAAATAAAATATATTAAAAGAATTTATATGAAAGAATAAATAGTATTGAAACTGTACTTACAAGTTCGCTCTACAGCATTGTATTCTTACTGTGTGCTTTGTTATTAGCAGTTGTAGGGTTTTGTTCCTTCAAAGAATTTTCCTCCTAGGAGCATACATACTATGGTTGAACTTCAAGGAGAACAAAGCCCTTTGGAACAATGAAGATCTGCCTCTCCCTACCTGAATGTTTTTAACTGCAAAGTAGATTGTCCATGCCTCTTGATTCAAATATCACAGACGTAAAAGAAGGTGGTTTTTCCCACCTTTGTCCAGTACAGCAATGGGAATTTCCCTTTAAAGACTGGGGTACAACCTTCAAATTTATAATGCATTAGTTTATAAATGGTATGTGTGTTATAAGACAGAATTGCATTACATGTACTGTATGGACATGGAGACTTTCATCTTCTTACCTAATCTGTATGCTGTGTACATTATTCCACAGCACATCAAGAGTTTGGTAGTCTCTTTGAGGATTGCATAATATTCTGTTATGCTTATACTGTTGCTTATTTGGATTTTTTTTTTTTTTTTTTTTTTTTGAGGTAAGCTCTCTGGAGTCCAGGGTTGGCCTGAGAACTCAAATAACCCTGCTAGCCCCAGACTCTCAGCAGTTCTAGCTAGCCTCCCCAGGTGCTGGGATTACAGGCTAAGCACAACACCTTACTACTGTTACTTGTCTGTCCAGCCCTTTACTGACTTTGTCCTTGTGTAATTAGCTCTGTGCAGCTTATGAGAATGTCTATAGGGAAAAGTTCTAGAAGTAGACTTGTTGGAACAGAGATATATGCCCAGTAAATTTTGAAAATTATTTTAAAATTTTCTCCCCAAAGGCCTCACCTATCAACTTCAAATCTCAAAAAAAATTTTTTTCTTAATGGGGCCAGAAAGATGACTCAATGGATAAAAGTGCTTGCCTTGAAGCCTGATCACCAGAGTTCAATCCCTTGAACCCACAAAACCCACATAAAGGTGAAAGAGGAGAACAAACCCCACAAAGTTGTCCTCTGACCTCTACACATACTGCCACACACAGCCCCTTCTCCCTATACACACAAAATTTAAAAACAGAAAAGGACTGTAAGCTCTTCACTGTGTAGAAGTGGCTTGCAGACATTTTTTCTGATCCTCTGTGGTAGGTGAAAAATGGAATCCCACTGTTTTAATGCATCCTGATAGTAATTTATTACCCCCCAAGTGCTGTTTGTTTTTCTTCACTTGGCTTATAAGTGAATAAAAGACAAATTATGTTTATTCAGTATAATTCTAGACTATTATAACTTTAACATTTTTTATTCAGAAGTTTTTGTTTTGAAATGCTATCAAATAATAAATTATTCACTGGAACCCTATGTAAGACTTTGAAACTCTGCCTTTTAGCAAGTATAAAATTATTTCATAAAATATCAACTGTAACTAGAAATGGTTGCTGTGGTCTAAAATTACAAAGAAATATGACCAAAATACACTAAAAATGTGAGTTTTTGTTTATATATTTTGCTGTCAGTTTCTAAGCACAAGATTAACTTATTTTGCCTTGTGGTAGTTGTGAGTCTTATTTATATACTTGAAGCAAGAAATTAAGTGAAATTTTATGTGGAGCATGTAACTTTATGCCAGTTTTCTTAGACCATGGTGGTTCTCTGTCCAGTCAACCAGCTTCCTCTCATCTGTCTCCTCACAGCCTAAGTATGACGGCCAGGTCTTACTGACACAAGTGTGGCAGCGTTTAAATCTGATTGAATGTGACTACTTCGGACTGGAGTTTCAGAGCATCCAATCCTACTGGGTATGTCTTTTTAATTTGCTTTTGGAAACAGGCTCTGACTGTATTATATTTATGGTGTGCACAGTATGCCAGGAGCCTTTTAGGACATCTCACAATGATGTTAACAAGATATTTGATAATTGACACGTCATTATTAGCAAAGCTGTGCTATCAAACTACTTTTTTTTTTTTTTTTTTTTTTTTTGGTCTTTTTGAGACAGGGTCTCCCTGTAGCCCCAGCTCTCCTGGAACTCACTATGTAGACTAGGCTGGCTTCGAACTCACAGAGATCTGCCTGCCTCTGCCTCTCGAGTGCTGGGATTAAAGGCGTGCGCCACCACGCCCGTCTAAACTATTTTATTTTTAGCTGTAGGGAATCTATCTACCTTTCAGCCTGAATGCACATCCTCCCTAAACTCAATTCATCCATTAGCACCTGTGCCAGGAAAGCCCTTACTCTTAGTTACTGCAGGAAATACTGATGCACCCTGCTGGGTAATCCTGTTGCAAGTGAATTTTAAGCATACTGAACTAGTTTCATATCATTTTACTTATTAGATGAACTATAAGAAGTGTGGTATTTTAGTATTTACAGATACAACTGCTTTTAAAAGCCTGTATTGGCTATTTAGATTAGAAAACATGCTATCACTCTGAGTTATGTCCACTCTCTTGGCAATTCAGCAGCACAGTGGACTTGCCTGAGTTTCTCTGCTCTGGTACCACCCATATTATTGTCCACAAATACCATGTGTACCCAGTATTTATTTGATGTCAACCAGTCTCCAAAACAGTCGTTGCTGTCTTGTTCTGTGCATGGCCTCAACTGGTTCTATTTGACCCTATAAAGATACCACTGTGGCAGCAAGTTAATAGTGTCCCAGCTTCTTGACACAGACACTGCTGAGCTTCCCGAACAATTTATTAAGATTTGATTTCTGTGTAAGAGGACAATAGAATCAAAATACTCCGTCATAGAAATGTCTCTTCCTTCTATTTTTGTATTTTATAGAATACTTACCAAATTAAGTAATTTTCTAATAGGATTGTTCTTTTCCCTTAAAATCCTCTTTAGATTTGGCTTGAACCTATGAAACCCATCATTAGGCAAGTACGAAGTAAGTCCTTTGTTTGGTGGGTAGGTTTGCTTTTTGGCTTTTTGTTTTGTTTTGTTTTGTTTTGTTGACACAGGGTCTTACTGTAGCCCCAGCTGGCCTGGAACTCACTATGTAGACCAGGCTGGCCTTGATTTCATCTACACCTACATGCCTCTGCCTCCAGAGTGCTGGGATTAAACATGTGTGCCACCATGGCCAGCATAAGTCTTCCATTTAACTGTTCAAATCTTACTTGCTTAGGAGATTAGAGAGATGGTTCAGCAATTAAGAGCACTGGCTACTCTTCCAGAGGACCCAGGTTCAGTTCCCAGCACCCACATGGTGGCTAACAACCATCCATAACTCCAGTTCCAGAGGATCCAATGTCCTCTTATGGATTCCATGGGCTTTGCATGACATGGGAGCATTTACATGCATGAAGGCAGAGCACTCATACAAATATAGTTAAATAAATAAAGAAATAAATTTAAAGCTCTTACTCATTTAAGAGGCCTTGTTCTGGAATGTTCAAACTCCAGGCATGTTCACACAGTCACCATCACTATTCTGTGTAGGTGGTAGAAAAGTAATCACAGTGGTTAAACTTGAAGTCACTTTGATGTTTAGCTTTAAACTACAATAAACAGGCATAGGAAGGTAGCAGATTTAACTCAGATCATTCTAGATAGCTTGCCTCAAGTTTGAAAGTCATGGGATTTTTTGCTTGGTACCTTAATTTTTGACTCTTGCAGAGGACCTGGATTCAATTCCCACCATCCACATGGAGGCTCACAACCATCTATAACTGCAGTTCCAGTGGGTCCAACAGCCTCTTCAGGCCTCTTTGGGTACTGCATGCATATGGTGCACATACATACATGGAGGCAAACACTCATACACATAAAAATAAAAAATTAGGGGTTGGGGATTTAGCTCAGTGGTAGAGCGCTTGCCTAGCAAGCGTAAGGCCCTGGGTTCAGTCCTCAGCTCCAAAAATTAATTAACTAATTAAATAAATAAGGAGCTGGAGAGACGGCTCATCAGTTAAGAGCACTGGCTGCTCTTGCAGAGGACCCAGGTTCGGTGGCTAACAACTATCCATAACTTCAGTTGCAGAGGGTCCAGCACTTCTTCTGGCCTCTATGGGCATTGCATGAATATGGTAGACTTAGATTCCTGCAGGCAAAACACTCATACACACAAAATTTTAAGAAATTTAAATTATGGGGGGGTTGTCTTTTGGGGTCTTCCTGTAGCCCCAGGCCTGGAACTCCCTATGTTGATCAGGCTGGCCTTGAATTCACAGAGATCCCCCTGCCTCTGCCTTCCAAGTGCTAGATTAAATACATGCACCACCACACCTGGCTTAAATTTTTTAAAATAAATACTTTTTGAAAAGAAACTTCTAGGGTTTGGTTTTGGGTTTGAGACTTTTGTGTTTTCTTTGTGGTTTTGTCTGTTTTTTGGGGGGGAGCAGGGTCTTTCCACATAGCACAGAATGTTCTTTAATTCATGATCATCCTGCATCAGCCTCCCAAGTTCTGGGATTATAGGCATGTGCCATCATGCGAAGCCTTGACTGCACCCTTTTTTTAGTATAAAATTCAGGGAAAAAGAACACATGGAAAAAACTTTGTTCTGTACTGAGAAGGGAAGGCCATTTAGGTTGCCACAGCATTTTAGCCAACTTACTCATCTTTCTGGTTAAAAATAAATAGCCATGGTATTAAATTTCAGTGACACAAAGATAATTTGAATCAGCTATATCTTAAGCCTTTTCAATAGAGTCTTCCAGAAAAAAAAATATATATATGGATTTCAAAATATGTTTTTTATTACTATGATAAAAATGCTGTGCACACCTTAATGTCATTCTATGCTGAAATATAAATAGTAATATATTGTGTTTTATGTATTTACTTATTTTCAAAACAAGATCCCTCTATGTAGCTCAGACTGGCCTTGAACTCATGTTTCTCCTGCTTCAGCTTCCTATGTGCTGGGATGCACCAGCACTCCTGGCCTAAATTTTTTCTTGTTTCAATTTGTGGTGGTTGTTTGTTTTTGTTTTTTGAGGCAAGGTCTTACTCTCTAGCTCAGACTGGCCTCAAACTTACTGTGTAGCCCAGGATAGCTTCAAATGCATGGCAGTCCTCTTGCCTCAGCCTCTCTAGTGTTAGAATTACAAACATGAGCTATAATGCCTGCCTCTTATTTAAAAAAAAAATTTTTTTGAGACAGGTTCTCATGTAATCCAGACTGGCCTCAAACTTGCTATGTAGTCAGGGATGACCTTGAACTCCTGATCCTCTGACCTCCACCTCTCCAGTGCTGAGATTATAGACCACCACACCTGGTTTTTATGCACTTGGAATGGAACCCAGGGCCTTGTGCATGCTAGGCAAGTATTCTACCAACTATATCCTCTCCAATTTAAATTTTTATTAATTAATTTATTTATTTTATGTGTGTGTGTTTTGCCTGCATGTATGCAAGTGCACTGATGCCATGCAGTGCCCACAAAGGCTAGATGAAGGTGTCAGATTCCCTGAAACTGGAGTTATGGATGCTTGTTAACCACCATATGAGTACTGGGAACCTAATCTGGGTAAGGGTTCCTTAAATAATCTTTACTTGAAGCAAAATACTGAAATTTCTCAATATATGTGCTTAGTAGTTAAGGACTCCTAAATTATGCATAGGATATTTCTTTTTTAAAAATATTTTATTATTTTAATTTTATGTGTATGAGTGTATTGCCTGCATGTGTGTGAGTGCACCCATGTTGTGCAATCCCACAGAGGTCAGAAGAGGACTTCAGATTCCCCTGGAACTGGAGTTAAGGACGGTTCGTAGCTGCCATGTGTGTGCTGGGAATTGAACCCGGGTCCTCTGCAAGAGCAGTCAGTACTGAGCCATCTTTCCAGCCCAAGGATATTTCTTAATATAATTTTAATTGAAATAAAAATGCTCTAATAGTCCATTTCAAACTATTGCCTCAGTTACATAGGAATACATAGAAAATAAGGGGCTAGAGAGATGGCTCAGCAGTTAAGAGTACTGGCTGCTCTTGCAGAGGACCCAGGTTCAATTCCCAGCATCCACATGGTGGCTAACAAGTGTCTGTGACTCCAGTTACAGGGGATCCAGTGCCCTCTTCTGTCCTCCTTGGGCATTGCACAACACAGATGCTCTTACATACATGCAGGCAATATACTCATACAATATAAAAATACTAATTTTTTTTTCTAAAAGAAAATAAGGCCAGGTGTGGTGGTGCATGTCTTTAATCCCAGCACTCAGGAGGCAGAGTCAGGTAGATCTCTGTGAGTTCAAGGCTAGCCTGGTCTACATAGTGAGTTCCAGGCCAGCTGAGGCTACAGGAAGACCCTGTCTCAAAAAGACCAAAATAAATACAGAGATTAACTTTATCTATGAAATTTTAATTTTTTCTTCTTATAGGGCCAAAGAATGCAATGCTTCGTCTGGCAGTCAAATTTTTCCCACCTGATCCTGGTCAGTTGCAAGAAGAGTTTACAAGGTAAAGAGTTCACACTAATCAATTCTTGTCCTTTGCCATATATGATTAAGAGTGAATGAGGCTGTGTTTCCACTTACTTGTCATTGGATGTTGCTGGACTGTATTTTTATTACGTTTACATCATTATGAAAAAATTACAGTGCTACACTGTAATTACACACACAGTGCAGGAGAGGTAGAGAGAAGCAGGTCCTTGGGGCTCACTGGTCAGCCAGCCTAGACTACTCAGCAATTTCCAGGCCAGAGACAGACTCCGTCTCAAAAAGCAAGGTGGATGGCTCTTGAGGAGGGACACATGAAGTTGACCTCTGGGCTCCACATGCGCACACACACACACACCCTCAGAGAGAGAGAGTAAATGAGGGCTAGTGAGATGATTCAGTGAGTAAAGGTGCTTGCTTGCCGCCGAGCGTGACAACCTGAGTTTAATCTCTACAATGCACATGGTGGAAGGAAAGAACCAATTCCTACAAGTTGTCCTCTGACCTCCAAACATGCACACTCTCATATAAATAATTTTTTAATTATAAAAAAGAATAAATGTAACCAGGCATGGTGGTGCACACCTTTAATCCCAGCACTTGGGAGGCAGAGGCAGGCAGGTCTTTGTGAGTTCAAGGCCAGCCTGGTCTACATAGTGGATTCTAGGACAGCTGGGGTTATGGGGAGACCCTGTCTCAAAAAGAAAAAAAAAAAAAAAATAGGAGTTAAAAGAAGCATCTTAGCAGGTGACTCTTAAACACAAATGTGAAGTTGAACTTAGTAAAATCTCAAACCAATATTCTCTAGATGAGCAAAAGGTTTGGGCATAAATAAAATTTGTAGGTATTCTATTCATAATAAATCAACAAAATCTCTGACAGATCTCTATCAGTTTGAGGCCAGCCTGGTCTACATTGAGTTTCAGGCCATCTGGGGTTATAGGGAGACCCTATCTCAGAAAAAAAAGAAAATTCAAAATCTACATAATTGGCAGACATATACCATGTAGTAGTCCTTATGAATAGTGGACAGGTTGAGTGGAGCAGGAGTATGAGGTGATCATTTTTGCTCCTCTAATTCCAGGTTGCTTTTTTTGGAAATAGATGAAAGAAAAATGTTAACAAGAGTCCTCTGGGCAGTAAAAAGTAGGGAAACAGGGCTGGAGAGATGGCTCAGTGGTTAAGAACACTGTTCTTGCAGAAGACTCAGGTTCGAATCCCAGCACCCACATGGCAGCTAACAACTGTCCATAACTCCATTTCCAGGGGATCCAACAGCCTCTTCTGTCCTCTGCGGGCATTGCACAATATGGGTACACTTTCCTACATGCAGGCAATACATGGACCAGGTTCTCCCTGGTGAACTCTCTCTTAAAGGCTTCTGTAGAGCATGGAACTTAACAAACCCATGGAATGTCAGGTGCAAGGACAGGAGAGGAGAGCCATTAACTCAGGTTCTTTTTCTTAAGTTGTTGAGGAAGCTGAACCCTAGATGGCTCAGCAGCTCCTCTGTGAGTGAGCACAGAACATGCCTTGGTACTGAGCAGCTGAAAATCATCGTGGAATCCTTTTCAAGGGACATTGCTTTTAAATATGTAGTCCTAAAATTAAAGACAATTCTCTAATTTAGGGCCCTGGATCTAATTTTTAAGGCTTAGATTAGGAAGTCAGGTTCAGGTTCATTTGGGTGGGTCTTGTTGCTGTTGGGTTTTTTGTTGTTGTTGTTGTTGTTTTGTTTTGTTTTTTCCGTGAGAAAGGTTCTTAAGGTTGAGGGTGGCCTCAAACTCACTGTGTAGCTGAAGGTGACCTTGAACTTCTGGTCTTCCTGCATCTACCTCCTGGGTGCTGAGATTATGGGTGTAGGCTACCACAGCCTGTTTATGCTGAGGCTAGATCCCAGAGTTTCAACCATGCTTGGCAAGCACTTTGCCAACATCTCTAGCCGTAGGAAGCTGGTTTTCCAGTTACTTCTTTCTCGTTTTCATTCAAGTCCTTTTCTTTCTTTCTTTTAATCAAAGAAACATTTTTGGCAAAAGACAAAACTTTCAAATAAAGTCAAATAGAATAAAAAACACAAACTATCCCTTCCCACCCACCCACCTCTCCACCTAAGTACTAACACTGAGCAGAAATCTTTCAAAGAATTGCAGGCATTCAGTGAACATGACATGGGGTTTCAAGGAAATTATGTTACAAAACAGTATCAAATGATGCCTGTAAACTTTAAGGTGTGAACTATAAGGTGATATTCTCCCCACACTTAATAGCTGTGGTGGTTATCTTTCCACATTGTGCACAAACTGGCACCTGACTTATTTAGTCATTCCCATGTTACTGTGTTGTTGGCATATATCCAGTTTTTCTGTTAAAATGTTGCAAAGGGGGTTGGAGAGATGGCACAGCAATTAAAAGCAGTGGCTTTTCTTGCAGAGGTCCTGGGTTTGATTCCCAGGACCCATATAGTGGCTAACAACCATCCATAACTCCAGTTCCAGAGGATCTAGACACTACTGACTTCCGCAGGCATTGCATGACACGAGTATACTTACACACATGCAGGCAATATACTCATATACATAAAATAAAAATAATAATTTTTTTTTAATGTTGCAAAAAAATAAAATAAAATAAAATTTTGCAAAAAAACCTCACTGGTGGCAGTCCTGAACTCCAGAAGTATGGCTGTGGAGAGGTTTATAAGGGTTAGTGGCAATGGAACTGCAGAGTTCAAAGGGCACGCCCACCTTAAGTTCCTGAAGAATGAAGGTGCTCATTTCTGCAACAATACAGTAAAACTGAAACTATACAGGATTAGCGTGGCCCCATACAAGGACAGCATGGAAGTTTGCGAAGATTTCCGTATTTTTGATTTTTTTAAAATAGCGAATGTAGTAAATGCTAATAGTTTATACCAGAGTGTAAATTTCAGTGAAGGCAGGAGTTTGTCTTGTTCACCAAGGTATTACAGCTCCCAGAATAATACATGGAAGAACCACATGCTTAGTAATTACTTATTGAGAGATAAATGAGCATGCAAATATCTTCAAATTGCCTTCTCTAATTACATTCTCACCAGTGGCTTCCACAGTGCCTGTATCTTATATCCTAACCAAGACCAAATATTATCAGTCTGTTAAAAAGTATCACAGGGGCTACTGGGAGACCCTGTCACACACACACAAAAGTATCACAGGCACATTTTAACTCTGTCTTAATTGTGTATTTCTGTTCTTTCATCGAAAATTTGAGTGCAGTTCTGTAATGTCAATTTATGAGCTTCCATGTTAAAAGTGTGACTGCATAGTATGTGATGTGTAGGTTAGTGGTGTGCTTGGAAAGACTTAGTTTCTCTATCCTGTTGTCGTATCACAGTGCTTCTGTGTACCCAGCACTTTCTGTGTGCTGTGTGTGACTCAGTCTGCTGAACCGATTTGTCTTCTGATCTTCGGTGTCTACTTATGTGAAAGGGCTTTTGTGACTGTATTTGTTCTGTGAAGGCCTGCATGTTGCTCACCGCTGATTGCTGCTGCTTCCCAGGGCTTCTTTGCTCTCTTCTGCAGTGGTGTGTCTGTATTGTGTTCAGAGAACCTTGGGAGCTATCTTTGTTTACTTTGAATTTCTTTCTAGGTACCTGTTTGCCTTGCAGCTCAAGAGAGACCTACTGGAGGAGCGCTTGACCTGCACCACCAACACTGCAGCCCTCCTCACATCCCACCTTCTGCAGTGTTAGTATTTTCACCAGAGGAAAGCTTGCACTGCCTATATCTTGGGCTCTAGCACCATAGAGGTGCCATACTTAGTTGCTGGTGCTCATGCATAATTAACAAACCTAATCAAAAAGTGGGTATTTCTATTCAGACATATTCTTGATAAGCTGAAAATGAACATCTATAAAGCAAATTCCTTGAGGCAAATAGCTTGGCCTATAGGTTCCAGGCAAAATCTGTAATCACATTCATCCTTTTGAGTTGTCTGTCATTTATGCCTTTATGCTTTCTTTCTCCCCTTCCCAGAGCTGTCACTTAGCTACAGCCCCAGCCCTTGGTTGTTTTTTTGTTTGTTTTTTGCTGTTGAGGGGGAGGTGCTGTTGTTTTGTTTTTTTGTTTTGAGACAGTCTTTTTATTTACATTTAGTTTAGACTTGCCTTGAACTCACTATGTACCCAGACTGACCTCTGCCTACCTAGTGCTAGGGTTTACAGGTATGTATGTCCTATCTGCCTTTATGCATTTTAACAATATGTCTTCAGTCTAGAGTCAGACTACAATCAAATTCTCAGCAAATTACCCAGAAAAGGGCCTCCTGAGGATGAAAGTCCCAGTGCTCTGTCTAACCATTAATCCTAAAGGAAAGAGAACACATTCCTTCCATATCTCACATGGAGCAAAAGATGGTGGAGAAGGGTGTGAAGAGTTAAGTTTGCTTCAGGAATAAACTATAAGACATGTAGCAGGAGATTCTGAGACATAGGTGCTTTGCAGGCTTATGAAGCTGCCAGCCTTCAGGCTAGATGGGGAAGGACCCACGTTGTTTCTGGACCAGAGTGAAACCATTTTCTCATATAGGCTGATGCTTCTGGGATTCCAGTGCAGGACATCTGACAGTCATAGAAATTTTAGAAGCTAATAAGTGTGTATTATCCTGCAGACCCTTCATCACTCCTCAGACATGCACCCTTTTCAGGCAGCAGATTTTACCATGGGTTTCCTGACTTGTTCTGTGAGACTTGGCTGTATTTAATGCTTTCAAAGTGGCTTTAGGGTTTTTCATTTGGCCTGAAGGCTTTTCAGGTAGAAAGAAAGCTTTTCAGTGCATTCTCCACAACTACTAGTAGTGCCTCTTGCTGGAGGGCTGTGTATGTCATGTTAGACTGTAATCCATAGCAACTGTCCAACTACAGCCTTCCCTCAGAGTGTGCTGCCCAGGTGGAAGGGGAGCAGCACAGCATTCTAAACTGGACCTTTTTGCTACAGACAGTTGAGCAAGTCATAAAACATGAAGAGGGTCTGAGTTAGGGATGGGACAGTTTGCTGATGCATGTGGTTTTATCATGATTATGGAACAGAGCATCTCTTGATAGGATGCACACTGGAGTAAATGGTCACCACATGAACACCTCTCTCCCAGGTGACTGTGGACAGTAGGGGGTCCTTGGTATATGCTCATACCCTGCCTGTATATTTGAAATTGTTACAAAGTATATTGCTTCAAATTTCCGGACTTACTGGGTCTGGTAGCCCCCACCTTTAATCCTGGCACGTGGAAGGCGGGAGGCAGGCAGATCTCTGTGAGTTCAAGGCCAGCCTGGTCTACATAAGTGACTTTCAGGCCAGCTGGGGCTACAGGGAGACCTTGTCTCATAAAGACCAATAATTAGTAAATAAATAAAATTACTAGGTTTAATACTGTTTAAAAATATGTAGTTCAGTGAGTACAGGCACCTGCTGCTAACCTGACAGCTTAGGCTGGATCCCTGAGAACCCACATGGTAGAAGGAGAAAAGAGGTTAGCTATCTCTGACCTCCACATGTGTACTATGGCCTGGGTATCCACGAACCCACATGTACACACACCCCAATAAATTAAATAAATAAATATATTTTTCATTTAAATCTTTGTTTTTTAGAATTTTATACATGAGTACTATATTTGCATCATTTCCACTCTCCCTGTATACCCCCCAAAAATGTAATTTTAAAAATTAAAAAATAAGCCAGGTATGGTGGCACACGCCTTTAATCCCAGCAATTGGGAGGCAGAGGCAGGAGGATCTTTGTGAGTTGGAGGCCAGCCTGGTCTACATAGTGAGTTCCAAGACAGCTGGGGCTACAGGGAGACCTTGTCTCAAAAAGACAAAAATAAGTATAAATAAATAAATAATATTAGCCTTAAATACATTAATAATTAAAATAAGAAAATTCTTCAGAAAATTTGAAAAACCCTGAAAGAAAATGTACAATTTAACATACATTTTTCTGAAACAAAATAATTATGCTAGTCTGGGTAGCCATGAGAGAACTTTTTTTTGGGGGGGGGGTCTTTTTGAGACAGGGTCTCCCTGTAGCCCTAGCTGGCCTGGATTTGCTATGGAGACCAGACTGGCCTCGAACTCCCAGAGATCTGCCTGTCTCTGCCTCCCTGGAATTAAAGGCGCGCACCACCACGCCCGGCTTTTTTTGTCTTTTTGAGACAGGGTCTCCTTGTAGCCCCAGCTGTCCTGGAACTCACTATGTAGACCAAGCTGGCCTCACAAAGATCCACCTGCCTCTGCCTCCCAAGTGCTGGGATTAAAGGTGTGCGCCACCATGCCTGGCAGAGAGAACTTTTTGTAAACTGATTTTAAAAAGTAATAAGCACATTATATTCAGGGTTCACTATTAGCCTCCCTGGCAGTGCTTATCAGAATCTTTGTTCTTTAGAGCTAGAAAAGAAAATCTCTATACCTTCCCTTGTATTTGCTTTTTAACAATTTATTTGGAAAAATACAATATAAAACATTTGCATGCACAAATGCTTATTTATTTCAAAATCCAAATGACTGACTTTCATTGTTCCATCTCAGCGGAATTAGGAGATTATGATGAAACCTTGGATCGAGAACACCTCAAAGCCAATGAGTACTTCCCCAACCAGGAAAACTTCCTGGAGAAGATACTAGACTTCCATCAAAGGCACCTGTAAGTTGCTCAGGAGTGAAGGTAGTTGTGTTGTGACTGTAGTTGTGGCTAAAGGGTGTTTAGCAAGAAGGAAACTGTTGTTCAGACTTCTACAGGATTCAGTCTGAAGAGACAGTGGTCACTTTCTGGTCTTGAAATATTCAGCAGCCCTGAGTGGCTCTGCTGACAGTTTGAGGCCCAAGCACTGTGCATAGTTACACCAGCAAGCCATTGCTTTAGGGAGAGCTGGCAGACACCAGGACCAGAAGAGAAGAACATGGCAAGCAGAGTGAGCTACCCCTTGCCTAATGAAAAAGTACAAAGTGTTATGTCCCCAAAGTGTGGCAGGAGTCACCCCCTATGGGCAGCAACCCTTGTGCTGGACAAGACTGACAGTATCCACCTGTGTCAGACATTGGGAATCACAATAGCAGCCACAATCTTTGATTTATTGTTTTGGTTTCTCCCAGATGTAACACTGATATGTTATTCAGACAGAATGATGGAGACTGGAGGAGAGCACCATGGGTGTTAAGAGTTCTTATTCAACAAAGGGAAGTTGGGAATATAAAAATTGTTCTGGAAGCCTTTGCCTTGTCTTAAAAAAAAAAGAGCCTGTTTATTTGTCACATTGTGCCTGATGAAGTCATAACCCTTATCAGTGTCTCAATGCCTGCCGTGCTGTGGTCAGCCCAAGCGCTCAACCCAAATGGGTCAGTTTGAACAGCACAGACCAAGATTCCTGTCCCCACAGGTCTTCGGCCACTGTGAGGTGGTGGGAGTTTCATGTGTGTGACCATTCATGGTACTTAGAGAGTGCCTTCAGCATATGCTTCACGTTCTGGCAGGCATTCTGTTCAGAAGGGCAACCTATAAATGCACTATCATCAGGAGTGCAGAAAAGGTGTAGGTCCTCCACTATGTCCTTCTGTCACAAGCTGAGGGTCCTCAGGGAGGCTCTGTGAGGACCTAACAGCTGTAGTCAGGGAGGAGCAATCTAGGCAAAGCACTAGCCTGAGAAGGGGGATGAGGGTCATTCTATCATGATGTTAACATAGGAAGCATACTGGGGTCAGAGATAATGCTCATGGTAGGCCAAGCTCCTAAACTTTTGTGTGCTCCTAAAATACCCTCTATGTCACCCACTGTCATTACTCTCTTTAAAGTAGATGGGATTGAATGAACTGGGCTCCATTTTGGGTGCAGTGCTTGGATTACCTCTAGTGCCCATTGGTGCTTATGGCCCAGAGTCTACTCACCTGGTCTTATCTTAAGGAAGTTCCTGGGTCTGACTCTGTTTCCCTGGATGTCTTTGGCTTTGCTTTCTGGGAGCCTTGACTCCCCCAGCTGGTTGCAGGAAGTTGGAGCTATTGGGAATTACAGACTGTTAGGCCCTCAGAGCAGGGCTAGACAACTTAACGAGGAGTGGGTTGGATACTGTTCTGTAAAGTATCCAACTGCATGTAGTCAGATATCTACTTATTCATAATCCTAGAAAGAGATCGTGGGCACAGATAAATACACAATTGCATTATTTCTTTAAGATTTTAAAAGCTCAGGAATTTGAAAAAGTTAAGAGAAAATCCCATTTTTGGGGTTCATACATAGACCTTGTCTCAAAAATAGATTACCAGTATTTATGCCTTTTCCTCCATCGATAGCTCTATGTGATGTTTGCAGATAACTTCAAGTAATAGTAAAGGTGATTATCTAGTGAGTGCAAATGAAGCATTCCACCCTTTACAAGTAGACTAGAATGAAATGCTAGAAGACTGGAATAGAAGGAACATATGTCTTCAGCCTGCACACATGGTGTATTATTTGGTAGTGGATAAATGTAGAGACAGTGAACCATCTATGCTCTAGAAGCAAACCCTTCCATGTTGATTCGTTGTCTGGCTTTATCTGACTTTGTTTACCCCATCACTTTCTAATGTTTCCCCTCTTTTAGAAAGCAAGTGTTATGGTCATATGTTAAACTGCCATTCCTCATAGGGGCCAGACGCCTGCTGACTCGGATTTTCAGGTCTTGGAGATTGCAAGAAAGTTAGAAATGTATGGTGTCAGGTTTCACACAGCTTCGGACAGAGAAGGAACCAAGATTAATCTGACAGTTTCTCACATGGGTGTCCTTGTGTTCCAGGTAGGTGGATGGTAGGGGAGGGTGAAGGTTTACAGTGACCTGGTGGGTTTGTTGTGATAAATAAGATGTTGCACTGGGTGTGGTGGTGCAGGCCTTTAATCCCAGCACTCGGGAGGCAGAGGCAGGCGGATCTCTGTGAATTCAAGGCCAGCCTGGTCTATCTAGTGAGTTCCAGGCCAGCTGGGGTTACAGGGAGACCCTGTCTCAAAAAAGACCAAAAAAAAAAAAAAAAAAGTGTTGCGTGTGGAAAAGAAACTTAGCTTATTGCCTGACCCAACCTCATACCAGTGAAGAAGTTACTTTCTTATCCTTCTGACACAGTGTAATGGAACCCACTGCTGCCCTCCACCCTGAATCACCCCAACCATGGCTGACCACTGCCCACAGTGTCCATTTCCTTCTCAGTGTTCATTCTAGTATTGAACCCAGTCACCCCTTAGAATCTTAAACTGGGACTCTGGCTCTTGTCTGAGAGGCTAGGTACATGCTGGGGGCAGGGGGAAACTGTGAGGCTATGAGAACTTTTTGATGACAGAGAGCTCAGAGTTGGGCACACTGGGCCTAGAAGCAGAAGGTCTGGTTTTATCTGTGTGACAAACAGTTACAGCCCAGCTGAGAGACCAGAATATCCATCCACTCCCTGTGATATAGCAGTACAGGGGTCTCCCTTTCATGGTTTGGGTCAGAGGGTAGAAATATGTACCTCCCTGAAAGTGTAGGCTCACAAGAAGCCTGCAGTTAGGTTATGACACAGGTCCTCTGTGCATCAGCTGCCTGGAGTGCTGGCCAGGCTAACACTTAGGAACAGGAAACTGAAGGCTCCTCTGCAAAGCACCAGTACGTGCACACAGCAGCACCAGTGTGGGAAACTTCTTTGGGAATCTTTCAAACCGGGCAAAAGGCTGAGAATTAGGTCGCCACAGAGAACCCCATGTATCATTGACCTGGATTCATTCAACCCTTGGTGCCTTTGAATCATGGGTGCTTTCCCCTGCCTGCACTCAGTCTCTGCCCCTGCCCTACAGTGCACTTGAGAGCAAGTGGAGTACATCTTCACCCCTCAGCCCTTTCCATTTAATTCCTAAGGATAAGGTGTTCTTTTACATAATCACCACTGACACCACTACTATAATAATCCCAGCACTCAGTGGTCTGAGGCAGGGGATTATAAATTCAGGGCCAAGCTTGGGCAACAAAGCAGGCCTTTGTGTATTTAAAAAAGAAAAAAAATTTACCAGGGCAGCAGTAAGATGGCTAAGCAGGTAAAATGCTTGCCACCAAACCTGACAGACAACCTAAGTTCAATCCTGAGAACCCACATGGTAGAAAGAGATAACTGACTCCTGCAAATTGTCCTCTGACTCACACACATGTGCTATGCATGCATTAACAGGGTGTGTGCACGCATACACACACACACACACACACACACACACACAAATAAAGTAATAAAATATTTTAAATGTTTAAAAAAATTACCAGATGATCAAAACTTAAGCAGATGTCTTTAAATAATATTATGTCGTTTGTTATGTCAGCAGGGCCAATGATACCCTTTTATAGCTTCATTTTTCCTCTAAGACAGAACCCAGTCTAAAGCCAGATGTAGGTTTTTGGTTTATTTATTTGTTTGTTTGTTTGTTATTTGTATGAGTATATTGCCTGCATGTATGTAAGTGCACCCATGTCGTGCAATGCCTGTGGAGGTCAGAAGAGAGCATTGGATTCCCCTGGAACTAGAGTTACAGATAGTTGTTAGCCACCCTGTAGGTGCTGGGAATCGAACCCAGGTCCTCTGCAAGAGCAGCCAGTGCTCTTAGCCACTGAGCCATCTCTCGAGCCCAGCCAGATACAGTTTTTATCCATCATATCTCCTGTCTCTTTCCCTTTTCATTATGTTTAATGCCATTGACATTATTGAAAAGCGTCCCCTTTTCCTTTTAATAACACAGTCTTCATTGAGGCTTATTGAATGCTTCTGGTGACATGTTCCCAGGTGGGCCCCTATGATTTCATAGGTGCTGATAGCCATCTGTCCTCACTGATGGAGTAAATCTCTGTGTGCACTCTGGTACTCCTACTACAGACTCAGTAATTCATCTCTTTCAGCTGAGAATTACTGTACAGCCACATTGACACCACATATCTTCAGGTTTCCTCAGGCTTTAGCATCCATTGATGACTGTCACCTAACAAATCCCAACCATGAAGGTCACAACCCTGGCAGTCTAAGAGTTCCTCTCACTTTTAAATACACACATATAAACAAAGAGTTGCAGATGCCCAAGGAGGCTGTATCCCAAAGGATAGGTACTAAGTTTGTTTAGAAGGAATTGAGCCATTACCAGGGATGGAAAAGATGGAAAGACAGAACAGAGCCTATCAGCTCTTTAGGAGGACGTGGCTCTTTTCCCATCAGATTTTGGCAAGACAAATCTCTTTTGTTGTGTTACCTTCATGAGAGTGAGAACACCCACCCCTTCATCAGGTGTGTAAAAGTTTTACTTTGTAATTTTTACTCTTAAATTATTTGTAACAGTAGAATCCTGGGAGATAACCATAGGAGGCCAGTTAAATGATAAATGATATGTTTCTATATTATTGGACATGGGCAACTATACAATGAGAATGCGCTTTAGGTGCTGGTACATGAAATAATCATTCACACACAGGTAGGTAGGTAGGTAGGTAGATAGGTAGGTAGGTAGGTAGGTAGGTAGGTAGATAGATAGATAGATA